TGAATATTGCCCTGGAGCACCTAGAAGCCAAACAAAGGGAAGAAACGAAGAGATCAAGGAGCTAAACAGAACATTTCAAAGGGCATCACAGGAAGACAAAGGAAAGTATCATGAAATATGCAAAGAGTTGGAGTCAGAAAATTAAAAGGGCTGAACTCACTCAGCATTTCTTAAACTGAAGACTTGAAGAACAAATTCAAGCCTCGATTTGCAATACCTAAGAATGCTTTGGACAAAATATGAAATGACTCAGGGAGCATTAAAAGAAGATGGAAGGAGTATACAGAGTCACTCTACCAAAAGGAATTGGCTGATATGGAAGAATTTCATGTTCAAGAGCCTGTGGTGATGAACGAAGAAATTCACCCTGCTCAGAAGGAATTGGCAAAACAATAACTCCCTACACAGGATGTGCTCACCAAGTTGTGCCAAGAAATCGGGAGATCAACCACCTGGCCAACTGAATGGAAGAGATCTATATTTGTTCCCATTGATAAGAATGCTAGTGCAAACGAGTGGAAATTATTGCCCAATATGAGTAATATCACATGTAAGCAAGATTCAGCTGAAAATGTTCCCTAAATGACTGGAATGGTACCTTTCCAGAGAACTTCCAGATGTGCAGGCTGAGTTTCAAAGAGGCCGTGATACTAGAGATAGCTAATGTTAGATGGTCTTGGCTGAAAGCAGAGAGTACCAGAGGAATGTTTACATAGATGTTATAGACTATGCAAAGGCCTTTGACTGTGTGGCTCACAACAAAGTGTGGCTAACTCTGAGAAGAATGGGAATCCCAGAATATTTGATTTTGCTTATGTGAAATCTATACTTGGACCAGGAGGGAGTTGTCGGAACAGAGCAAGGAAATACTTGCATAGTTCAAAATTGGAAAGGGTGTACACCAGGCATGTATTCTGTCTCCATGCCTTTTCAATCTCCAGAGCCCAGCCTCCTGGATGATCTGTTCTGTATAAAGGCTGAAAAGGTATGGAGACAGGACACATCGCTGGCATAAGCCCTTCCCAGTTTTGGACCATGCAGTGTTTCCTTGCTTTGTTCTGACTACTTCCTCTTGGTCCAAATATAGGTTTCTCATTAGCACGATCAAGTGTTCTGGGATTCCCATTCTTCTCAGAGTCAACCACAGTTTGTTATGGTCCACACAGTCAAACGCCTTTGCATAATCAATGAAACACAGATAGACATTCTTCTGGTATTCCCTGCTTTCGCCTAAGATCCATCTAATATTAGCTACAATATCCCTAGTACCAGGGGCCCTTTTAAACGCAGCTGGACGTCTGGCAGTTCTCTGGTGGTGTGCTGCTCCATGCGTTTTTGGATAATCTTCAGCTAAAAGGGAGAATATTGTATAAAACCATTCTTGTATAATGAGGTTGAGGATCAGATGCCGGGAGTATGGAAGTAGAGGGTGTGTATGCCCGCTCGCGGGGAGATTAATTATGGGGTGGCAATTTTTCAAATGGGAAGGAACTTGTGAAAAACAATGTATACGAATTTTTTAAATAATTTAGTATAATAAATGAAATATTTTAAGATATGTTTTATATAAAAACAAGTGAATGTAAATTGTCTCCCGAAAAAAAGCGACACAAAAGAACCTACTGAACAGTCATCGATGGCTTCGTTCACCCTCAAGCTTGAGAAAAAATAAACCCCACAGTAAATAAACCCCAAGTTAAGAGTTTAGTGTAGGAACCGAAATGCCGGGGAATGACTTTGGCAAGTGATGTTCCCCCACGAACCATTTATTGTGTGGGATCTAGAAACCGGAAGTGTGCCACCCCACCACGTGGTACAGATTAAAGGAGGGAGAATTCGGCTTTCTCATTTCTAATTGGCCTGACGGTCTCGGAGGCGATCACATCTCCATTCTGAAGTCAGAGCACGAGTTCACCCTCTTCTTTTGCTCCTGGTCTCTCCTGGACAGTCGGACTTCCGGTGGTGCTCGCACATCTCCTTCCCCGAGTAGCTGAAGCAGATGCACAAATGTGCAGCTCTCAGGTCAGTGTGTCCCCGGCCCATGGAGGGAGTCCGTGCGGGGGTGTGGAGGGGGAGTCTGAAGATCCGCTCAGCCCTCGCTCTGTCTGTCCTTCTGTCCCTCTGCCGTCCGTTTCCCCAGGGGGACACTGAAGTCCCCGCTTGTGTACCCTTTTCTCCTTTGACAAAAGGGTAAAGTGACAGCCCATCCCCCTCCGTGCACCCGCAGTGTGTGCTTGCGGGGATTTGTGGGCGTCCCCGGACAGCATTCATGGTCATCCTCGCAAAGACCAAGGGGAGGGAACCAGCTGGTTTAATTCCTAATGGACATGGATGTGTCTTAATCAACGAAACATCCATTTCCTTTATGTCTGTGTTCGTCCTAATGAGGAAAGAGGCCTTTGTGTCCCTGATGGGAAAAACCCAACGTCTCTGCGTTATGACATCCACCAGCTGCTTTGTAGAAAGGGCAGTCCTTTCTCATGCCGTTTTCAGGATTTAAACCTGATGGAACATCCAGTATAAAACAGATGGACTCTTTAGCAGGGAGAGAATGAGAAATGGTACAGACATCTTTTCAGGGGTTTGTACAACTTCTTTTTTGAAATTATTAGAGTGTGTTGGTGGTTGAAAACTTGGTTCTTTTGTGGATTGTAAACCATTCAAAAAAATGAGAGGAGGGCGCGATCGAGTATGAAAGGAACGTTGGTGTTTCAAACATTTCAGTCCCACTTTGGCAGCAGCCTTTGTCTTTATTTACCGTTTAGTTCACAAGAGCGAAACACTTTGGAAAGACCTTAGGATTGACCTTTAAAAAAAAAGAAAACAACCTCCATCCTTTTTCAGTTTCCCATTTTTCAGTTTCTACTAGATGGTTAGAGACTTTAGGGGAATTAAACTGTTGTTGTGTTAATGTTGTATACTGTTCATTTGGATCCTCCACTGGGTTTTCAAAGGCAGTTAAGCACACGGGAGGAAATTGCCCATCCTTTTCCCACAGAGCAGCTGGTGGCCTTCAACCATGTACTTTGGGATTGTGAACTGCCCCGGCCTGCGGGGATCTTCAACGGTGACCCTAGGAGGGGAAGACCTAGAATGGGGGTGGGGGGAACAGGAGACAAGAGGCATGGAGACAAGTTGAGATTCCAATCAAATGTCAATTTTATGAAAGCAATCACAGCTTATAGACAGAAGCACAATG